CCTGGCGCCTCAAGCCTGCACCACCCAATGTTCCCACACGGGGCGATCTACACCCTGGCCTAACCTCGCCCGGGCGGTGCCACTGGCTAGGTGAGTAAAGCAACCAGCTCCAGAATTAGGCCTCCCCCCGCCCCCAGGGGGGCTGCACTAGCCGGCCGGACGCATGCCCAGCGCCCTCTCTTCGGATCCAGCCCAGGGAGGCACGTGCCCAGCGCGCCCGGATCTCCTGCTTGAGCTGCGCGGGCGCAGGGGGCGACAGGAGGGCCCTAAACCATGGCGATGGCCCAGTCACGAGTAGCCGCCAGATTCCCAGGCTGGCCCGGGACGGCTGCTCACCTCAAGCGCGGAGCCGCAGAGCCGGGCTTCTTGTCGCCCGTCCGGGGAGGGAGCTCCTCGGTGCTAATGGCCCAGCCGCTGAAATTACCTGGGGAGGGTTACAAGGAGGGTTAAAAGCAGCAGCAAAAAGCCTCCCTGACAGCAACCAGGAGCACAAGAGATGCAGCTGGCTCTAGGGAGGACCAGCGGCTTATACAGGGAGATCTCGCCCGGAGCGGCGACGCAGCTGACTCTGGGGTGGGACGAGGCAGCGGTTTATACAGGGAGCCCTCGCCCGGAGCGGCGACGCAGCTGACGCTGGGGTGGGACGTGGCAGCGGTTTATACAGGGAGCCCTCGCCCGGAGCGGCGATGCAGCTGACTCTGGGGTGAGACGTGGCAGCGGTTTATACAGGGAGCCCTCGCCCAGAGCGGTGATGCAGCTGACGCTGGGGTGGGACGTGGCAGCGGTTTATATAGGGATTCAGCTGCCCCCAGGGAAATCGAAGGGCACCCGACTTAGCCCCGTGGCGGGAGGCCGTGAAGCAAGGGTGAAGTACGCAGAGGCGGGCTTTCCTGCCTGATGCTGCCCCTCCTGGGACACACAAGGCAGCTCCCAGCCCCCGGCTCTCCAGCAGGGCCAGGCCCAATGCCTACGCTGCTCAGTGCCCCATAGGAGGACAGAGGGGGAGGGGGGCTATTTGGTTCCTTGGCAACCAGCCCCGCCCCAGGCTCCCCTTCCCTGCACTCACCCAAGGACTCCAGCGGCCCCCGGGGACTGTTGGGTGGCTGGCGAGGAGCTGGCTCCGAAATGTTCACACCTGTTGGGGGGGGGAATGAAACACACAACATAGTCACCCCTCCAGCCTAAGCACGACACCCCCCCAGCCCTGCACAATCCCAGCCCAGCAGCTCCCCCTCCATCCCCGCTCCTCTGCCCTTCTTTCAGGGAGGCAGCGTGGCTCAGTGGTTAGCATCGGAGTCAGGACGCCTGGGTTGCATCACAGAGCGGGGGCTAGTGGGAGGAGCTGGGATCCCGGACTCCTGGGTTCTCTGCGTGGCTTTGGCCAAGCCCCTTCCCTGCTCAGTGCCTCAGTTTCCCCCCCTGGAGAGTAGCCGGGGAGGGTTCCGGAAGGCGCCACGGGGGAGAACTATTTGTAAGCGGGGCGGGGGGAGTTTGCTGATTCATCGAGCTGCTGGAGCAGTCCCAGAGCAGCAGCTCTAAGGGCTGGGACTGGCATCGGAGCTAAATCCCCTTTCCTCCAGAGAGACGAGCTGGGACAGGCCCCCGAGCCTCCTTCCCTGCAGCAGAGACCTCCCCAGAGACTGGGCTGCCTTCGGGCGAGACGTTAACCCCCCACCCCCACCCCCGAGGGATCCCACAGCACATCCCAAACACGAAACCACATCGCCCGAGATGCGGCTGCCTCTGGGGTGGGGCACGGCCGCTGTGTATACGGGGATCCCTCAACTAGCAGCGAGATGCGGCTGACTCTCAGGTGGGACGTGGGGGGCTTTATACAAAATCCCTCACCCTGCACTGACAACCAGCTGCCTCTGGGGTGGGAGGTGGCAGCTGTTAACACAGGGATCCCTCACCCAGCACTGGGATGCAGCTGCCTCTCGAGTAGGGTGCAGTAGCAGGCCATCAACTGCACCGAAACACCATATGCTACAGCCACCTCTGGGGAGGAGCAGAGCAGCTGTTGACACGGAGAGCCCTCCCCAGTGCTGAAACGCAGCCACCTCTGGGGAGAGGCACGGCCGCTGTTTACAGAGATCCCTCCCCAGTGCTGAAACGCAGCCACCTCTGGGGAGAGGCACGGCCGCTGTTTACAGAGATCCCTCCCCAGTGCTGAAACGC